GGGGGTATAAAACACGCCGACAAGAGCAGACACATAAAGAAGGGGAGGGAGGGAGGGGGGCAGGTAAGTCGGTCAGTCAACCAGATAGGACTAGGAACAACAGACAGGAGGTGGCAAAAATGCTTCAGAAGGGGGGAGGGGAGGTAAGAGAAAAATGCGTTCGTCGTTTGTACAAACACAAATGAGCGAGAGGGGTGAGAGATCATTCGGGCTTACTGAGGTCAAGTACATCACTATCACCGGCAGTATTCTCAATGGCTACACTAGCGCTACCCTCAACACCTACTTCTTCAGATTGAGAAGTCGATGGAGCCTTTTCTACATTAACTGGAGCTGTCGTGTCCAACTCCTCAGACACCTCTTGAGGATCTTGTCGTGAAGATGATGGACGTGGACTGTGGGCAGGAGCAGGAGTTTCTTGGGTTACTGTTGGTGTTTCAGATGTTGTGGTTTGCTGCTGCTGTGTCTGCTGTTGATTTCTCATGGCAAACATGCTGGAGAGGAGACCGGTCATTTGGGTCTGTAGGGACGAGGCTGCCGATGCGGGATTCGCGGAAGCGGCGGATGTTCCCAGTTGTTGAGCAGCGTATAGGGACGGGTTGTACAGATAGCTTAACAGTGAGGCTACTTGTTGATAGGCTGATAACGTCGATTGGATATTTTCTGTGCTCATTGGTACAGCGCTACTTCCAACTGCTGTTGCCATTGATGCCGAACTCATTTGATCTGCACGTAGAAAAAAAAACATACATAAACGTGATCACATGCAGCAAAAGTGTCAAAGAGGTGTTCAATTAGAAAAAAATTAAAATGAATTCAAGGGCAGATGAACAGTCTATAGCCCCATGAGAAACCTGAAATAAAACACTTCTCCTCATTAGCCAGACTTAACCGATGCGATATGCTATTTCTTGATTTTTTTCCCAAGGAAAAAATCTTACCGTTTGCCAGTATATGAATAGTTCTCCGTGATGAAAGACAACAAACACTTAATGCATACACCAAGATAATGAAGATAAAGGATTCAAGCCCAAAGATTAGGGTCTAATTTTAAAATTCTGGAATGGCATTAATTATTTCTCTCGTGCAGTCTCAAACAGTTTCTAACATAGCATATGGCAAGACTGTGCCATGCTTGCTTTGCGGATGAGAGCTAAGAGAAATCGATTACACCTTCAACGAATCTTTACCTAGAGCAGCAGGATCAGAGGAAGAAACAGTATTGGCAGAAGACTGAACAGGATCATTTGAAGAGGATGGTCTGTCCGCTTCAGAACCCTTTTGTTGTTGCTGCTGCTGTTGCGTCTGCTGTTGTTGAACACCACCAGGCTGTGCATAACCCATTAAAGTGGCTAGAAAAGAAGCATACGCGGGATTTCCCGAATACATCGAAGCTGCAAGGAAACCCATCATCTGTTTCTGCTGGTCCGACACTGCATCCGAGGTCCCTGTTGACGTGGAAGGAGTAGGACGTTGAGTACTACTTGCAGTATAGTTGACCACTTTACTTAACATGGTAGACATGTAATGCCTGTAAGCGAGAGCCTCCATTGCTGATGTGTTCTGTCCTCGAGATTGAGCAACCCGTTTAAAGATAATTTGGTCCTCCTGTTCCACAGAGTATGGCATATACTCTGGATTAGCTTTCAGCCAAGCTTCCAAATGCCGACGTTTAGGTGCTTTATCACCGTGAATCAGGTTTCCATTTGTCAAAGAGACTAGGGGAACATTTACATTCCACGCAGGAGAATCGGGCGGTGGTAGGACAGCCGATGACGAATCCATTCCTTCAATCTTACGTTTCCTACCCCGCGTTGAACCTGAAGCCCCACGAGATGTAATTGCTTGTCCACCTCGTGAACCCCTGCCACGAGTAGGAAGGGGAGAAGTGGAATTTTTCGCCAGAGAGGCGGCAGAAGCAAAATCTTCCCTTGAGTACATGTTAAGACCGCTTGTTCCACCTCGTGAGCCCCGACCACGTCCGCGACCACCGCGTGAACCGCGGCCACCTCCCCGTCCTCGCATTGATCCAGACAAGTCAGATTGATGCGCAGATGCAGCAACTGCAGCCTGAAGAGCAAGGACTTGATCAATGTTAGTGTATCCTGCGGCTTGTAGAGCAGCAAGAGTTGCAGCTTCTGAGGGGCTGAGATTTTTCTTTTGGGTTGTGGAGGCGCTTGAGATATCAGGAGAACTGGGAGGTGCTGGAGAAGCATCACGGCTCACAGCCCCGGTTGACTCAGCTATGTGATATCGACCCATATCGTCTACTGAATTGATTAAGTAGCGACGGGGGAGGGGCCAATGGCCGGTTTCAATGCACTGGCAGACCATCTCGAGACGATTGTGGATAGTGCGGTCTTTGGGCCAGGCAACAGCAAGACTTGTGGCGAATTGAAGAGACCACTTGAATTGCTCGCTATTCGTAACTTGTGGATCAAGGAGAGTGGGAGACGTTGGAGGATTGGAATCTGCGGCCCTCTCTTCAGATCCTCCATTTTCTAAGAGGAAAAGATGTTGAGATTTTTCTTAAACAGTTAAAGACAAGCCACTCTCAGAATCACTATTCATAAAGTGCAAGCTAAGGTTACTCCAATGCTATTAGACTCAAAATATGTACTAGATATCCCTAATTTGTTTTCCAACAACTCGTAAGTAAAAATCTTTGCAATGATTCCTAAAGAACACAGAACCAACCAGATTTCACTCATTCAGTACTTTTCTATGTTCCCTTCCTTCAACTCCCCCCC